GGATTCGTTTGTGTTTTGGGTATGTTTGAACCCTAACTTGGTTGCGATTTGGATTTATTTCGGTTTTATCGATTTGTTCTTTATTCAATTGGTGTTTGCTGACCCCTTGACCAATTGCTTTAGATTCTGAACTTACACTTGTTTACGAAATGTATCAATGTTGCATGTGCACTCCTTGAGATATGATATGTGTGTATCGAGTCTAAAATCTATAACCCGATTCACAACTAGAAGTTATAGATTTTAGACTCGATACACACATATCATATCTCAAGGAGTGCACATGCAACATTGATACATTTCGTAAACAAGTGTAAAGCTCTGATACATTTTCGAGCCAACGGACGTCTAACCCCGGTGAGATCTATCCTTTATTTCGGTTTATTTCGTAAATAAGTTTTGAGAGCAAAACACGGATAAGAGAGAGGGAATGATGTGGACAAAACTTCTGAAGAGATAGGGAATGATGACGACATCGGACCCAACAACATCTCGAAACGAAGATCTTAACGGAAGCATATATGGAGCAAAGACAAGGGCAAACCGAGTTCCACCTCGGATCGAAGCCACCAAGTAAAAGGAAGTTGTTTGGAGTGCAAGACAATTATCCAAAGAAAGCTTCTTCATCATCAAGGCAACTCCAACAACTAGCTTCCCAACCACGTCATTTAAAGCAACATCAAGACAACTCCAACAACTAGTTTCCCAACCACCTCATTTAATGAATTGTATTCCTACCCCTCTTGCATGTTCTTGTCATTTAATGTTGTAGTTGAGAATTCTAGCCTATATAAAGGTCTTGTAGTGCATCATTTGTAATCAGACTTGTAGAATTCTCAAACATTTCGAGTTTTATAAACTCTTCTTCGGTTTGTCTGAAATTTATCCCGATCTTCGGTGTGTCCGAGATCACGAGTTTGGTGTGTCCGAACTCAAGCCTTGGTGTGTCTGAGGTCCACTATCTATTCTTCCCTTTCGTTCCATCCATCTTTCTTTTCGGAATTACGTCGAACATCTCTTGATCTGTGACTGATTCCGAGGACCACCATCCCCTTCGAACACCATACCCGATCCAAAGTCGAGAGCCTTCTCCGTGAAGTGTGAGAGACTGCTATTCGGCCTTGTTCCATCCTCTCCGAGTGAAGGCGTGTATCACCTATCTTATTCAAAGCATCATTGTGCGATAGAGTCTTGAAATTCTTGCAGACTCAGAGATCACTGAAGTCATTCAGCGACCCTTGATCATTGAATCCAGAGTCCACCGTGCACGAATGAGTCATGGGCAACAGTGCAGCAAGACTTTTGCTCTTCTGATGAAACATGACAAAATGCTGATTCAAGTGGAGTAGTCCAATAGGAAGAACGCCAAAGTTATTACCCAGATTCGTGTCCAACAACACGCTCTTCGGGAGGAGTTCCAGAGTAATGGCTGTTTGATATATTCCCCAAGGTACGTTTTCTGTTTGTCCTCATGCTAATGTTTTGAGTTTCTGCTTACTCACACACGGGGAGAAAGTGAGGGTGGTGGAGAAACTTGTCTAGTACTAAGGACAAAGGAAAAGGAAAAGTGGTGGAGGACGTGCTAAGTGATGTTGAGGAAGAGATCGAGGAAGAAACTTCGGAAGACCATGATGAATCTGAGTGAACAACACTTCTTGGTTGTGAAGTGGACTTCGTTGATTGTGTGCTGTCTTATTGTGTGCTGTGTATGTTAGTCATCTAATCGTGTTTGCTATCATTTGCTGTGTGTTATGTTGAACCTAATGTTCAGACTTATTTATGGTGCTTTGATGTATTTGCTATGAATTGCGACTATGTGCTCTATGAGTTTTGAGTGTGTCTAAGCAGAAAGTCAAAAAGGGGGAGAATGTTAAAGCAAGGAAAAAGCATATTCACCATCTAGAAAATTCAAATCGACAAATGGAAATATGGAGCTGAATTTGGAAAGCAAATATGGAAAGAAGAGATAAAAGGAAAGAAGACATTCACATCAATGAAGAAAAAGGCAAGACACATATTTGGAGAATATTACGAGAAGTACTTGGAGGAGTATATAGAGGGGCAATACTCCATTGTTGAGAGTTGCCGAGATCATTGTGATTGCGAGAGTGAGTTTGTAATCTTGGTGAGAATTGGGTGTACGGGAAACACTAGTGAGAGTTATCTGAGAGAACGTGAGGTACACTTGAGGGGGAGCCTTGCAACATCAGGCAAACCGCTCACTGGGTCTAGATGAGGTCTAGGATGACACGTGTTGTGCATTACACATAGTGTGTCTTGGGCTGATAGAATTTCTTGTGATATTGGGATTCTGCTCAGGGGAGTGGAATGAGTGAGAGTTGAGTATTACTTGGAAAGTATTGAAGTGTACTCGACTCATATCAAAGAAATAGAATCAGTTTGGAAATTCTCTTTTTGCAATACTGTGTGAGAGTGTTTTTTCACAATGCAACCTTTGTTTGGGGATTCGAGCTGATCTCGTAATGTTGGATGATTGAGCGGTATTTGGATTGCATTCTGGTTTTTCCTCTCTTTGATTTCCACAAGGCACGATGGAAAGGAAGCATGTCTTGAAACATACAAGGGTTTTATTACACAATCTCAGTACAGATTATTATACTATTTCTGTGTTTTGGTCTGTTCTTCCTCGCCTTCCACAGCTCCGTACTCGTATCTTTGTGCAGACCAAAGAAACACACTGAAGTTCACCAAGCTCAGGACAGTGAGCAACCAATACAAAAGATCGAATCTGCCCGTGTTTATGTTCTGCGATAGCCATGAAACCCCGTCTGCATTACGGGTCGCTACCTTCACGATGCTGTTCAGAATGCTGGCCATGAAACAGCCTAACCCACCGGCAAGAGCAGCATAAGCCGACCCTATACTTTTCATGGCATCAGGAGCTTCCTCGTAGAGGAATTCAAGTAAACCCACAATGCAGAAAACTTCAGCTATACCGATCAAACAGTACTGAATCAGCAACCAGTAGGCGCTTAGATCGGGCATCTGGGCTAAGAAGTTGAACTTGAAACCTTGTTGTGCCGCGTAATTTCTCCGGTAGTTCTCGAAGAGTCCAGCCCAAGCTACCGATAAGATCGAAACTGCTAGGCCGATGCCCACCTGTGCAGGTAAACAAACTCTTGTTCAATGTACTGTTTTGCTGGTTTCAGAGTGATTTCCATCAGAAAGAAAGGGAAATTTTAGTACCCTTTGAAGCTGTGAAGCACCGTGAGGATGGCCGGTGATTTTTCTGGTGATGGGAACGAAGACGGAGTAATAGAGGGAGAGAATGAGGAAAATGCTGAGGCCGGGAAATACGGGCATGCACGTCACAGGAAGCTTGAGGTTTCCGATGTGTGTGTTGAGTGTATAAGCTTGTTGAACCGAGACAGTCAGGTACTCTGTCAAGATGAGATTCAGCATTATGGTGCAGGCTGGGATCGGAATCAGTTTGATCAGAATCTTCACTTCTTCTACTTGAGTCACTGTGCAGAGCTTCCATGGAGATGGCTCCAACCCATCTTCTTTGAGCTGAAGTGCTGCTTTGTCCAGCCATCTGCTCAGACAGGACATGAAACAAGCATCAGGACATGAACAGAGTAAAACATAGTTCAGGTTTCGTGAAAACTCGCCTGAAATCATCAGTATGAGCAATTTTACGGCTTCCCTGAATGGCAGATTTGATTCCTGGAACCTCATACAGACCGATGAAGTCACTGCTTGTGAAAGCGGCTTTGCGTTTGCGGAAGGCTGCAACAAACACCTGAGCCACCCTTGTCAAAGGGCTGCCACCGGGCAATCTATGCCTGTAAAGCGGCGTGCCAGCGAAGAACAGAGCATTTGAAATCCCCATAGATATGGCTAAAGCTCCAAACGCCATTCCCCAACCAAGTTCCATTTGAATGTACACTACCAGAGTGAAGGCTATGATTGCGCCTAAGGTTACCGACAGGTAGAAGAAATTGAAGAACCTGTCGAGATGGGTTTTGTAGTTTTTGCTTCTCTCATTGAACTGGTCTGCTCCAAACGACGATACACAAGGCCTTATACCCGCAGCTCCGAAACCTGTAACGTACAGAACCGTGTAAAGGTACAACATTTGCCACGGTTTCGCTGGTTCACAGTTTCCGAGGAGCAACGAGAGCTGATCACAGTTGGTCTGGTCAGGTACGAAGATCTTCAACGAGGCACAAAGTGTTATACCTATCAAACCCTTTCTCAGGACAGAACAGAAACCGGAAAAACCAGATCTCAGAACAAAAGGGTAAGATGTGGCAGCAGATCAAGAAAATTGTCTGGTTTTTCGGGTACTTACAGCGAGATACATCGTGGTGAAGATTGCGATTGTCCAGTACCGACCCAAGTATGCATCGGCTAAGAACCCTCCAAGAACAGAGGAAGCTTGAGAAATGCCGAGGAAGTTATTGACGGCATTGGATGAACTGGTGAATGGCCTATGCATTACGTAGAACATGAATGCCACCATGTTCACAGACAGCCCAAAATACGCCATTCTCTCTGCCATTTCATTTCCTGAGATTCGACCTCGAGTTACTTAACGAAAGAATCTAACGAGGATCAAAGCAAATAAGAGAGAGAGATACATGGAATTGAAGAAAGGTAGATACCGAAGATGAAAAGAGCGGCGATCCAACCGCCTGTTTTTGAGAGATCGGAGATGGGTTTTCCGTGAATGTTCACCGGAGTTGTTCCTCCGGTGTATCCGCGGCCAAGAGCCGAACGTCTGTTATCAGACTCTATGAAGAACACATTCAGCTTCTTCCTTTGTACGGACGAGCTGGAGCCTCCGTTGTCGGAAAATCTTGCCGGAGTTTGAGCTTCACTCGCCGGCGATTTAATCTCTGAAACACCCATGATTTTGAGTCTCCGCAACTCACTTAGAAGTTAGAACACTAATCAAAACCCGCAATCTAAAGTTTTAATCTTTGTTATGAACGAGCAATCTAAAGTTTTTTTATTTTCTTTATTGCAGTGCATGGATTGGTACGTAAAAGGAAAAAAAAAAACAGAGAAGCTTTTTGTGTTGAAAGGATTTGAAGAACAAGAGACAGAGTGGAAGCACTGGAAGATGGTTATTACAAAGGAATGATCAGGCCAACTACATTGGAGACGACAACTATTTGAAGAGGAAAAAATTAATGAATGGATATAATTTGTCAGAATGGAAATTAATAAAATGACGTTACTTATCTTTGGGAAATGAAAATAAATGGTCGGAGCTTACCGGTGGGGAGAGGGTAGTAGTAGACTCTATTGCATTTATTGCCGCTTCATCAATTCCCATGGGGTCTATGAAATGGATTTTTTTTGTGTGTGTGGTATTAAAAGTTCTATGCCCATGATTAGGATCCATGTGGTTTTGGGATTTAATACCATGTGTGATCGCCAGAGTTATGTAATGTTTTATGGAGGGAATAAGATTATAATGAAGGGTTTTTTTTATGTATATTTTTAGGAGGTTTATAACTTTATATGATAAATTCTAGAAGAGTTAAGAGTCGAACAAGGAGTCATCAACAAAGACCTAAGAATTCTATGAACAACTAAGAATTTGATTATGTATGTATGTATGTATGTATGTATGTATGTATGTATGTATGTATGTATGTATGTATGTATGTATGTATGTATGTATGTATGTATGTATGTATGTATGTATGTATGTATGTATGTATGTATGTATGTATGTATGTATGTATGTGGGTAGAATAATATGAGACTGCTATATTTGGATATTATGCAAGTGAATAAAGAAAATATGTGTTTAACAATTTTATATATATTTGACTTAGAGCAACAACTTCCACTTATATTTGGAATATACAAGAAAACTAAGTGATTTGTAGGATTAATTAAGTGATGGGATTAAATAAAATTATATTTATGGGCGTGTGTTGGTAAAGAAGGTTTTACATTGGAGATCTAGACAATAACTTACCGAGGAATTTGGAAAAAGTTTGGTAAATAAAATTAGCAGAAAGTAGGACGACCCATAGAGGAATAAAAACAGTTGGGTGTCCATATGAATTAGAGCTTTTTTTTTTAGATTTAGAAAAACAATGAGAGAGAAAGAGGGAAATCCACAACGCAAACCGGCAAAGTATGAACGTAGAGACCAAATCTTCCATCATTCTGAAGCAATTTTAACTATTAAATCCAAACATGATGGTTACAAAATGTTTAATCGTAGCGTACTGTTACAACTTAATATATAAGGTTTTGTGTAAAATATAAATTTTTGTTCTTTTGAATGAGAGTGCTAGATATTGACAATTAAAAAATGTAAATGGGTCTGCTCAAAATGTATATCCGAGCCTAGATCCGAACCCATATTCCCAAGCCCATGTTCTGAATTGAGCCTATGTGTATATTTATTATATAATGATATTTATTTCTCGTTTGAATGATTCTAAATCCCTAACTGATAGTAATGGTGGAAACGATGGTGAATTAAAACTAGTATGATCATAGAGATTATCATATATGTTAGATACAAATCACGGTCATGTGTATTTGTTGATAACAAGGGATTAGATGATGAGATTGTCACATAAATTTGAACCACCACTTGAATTTCATGTAAAGGTTTGTTTTTAGATCTTTATATTTGTGATATCTATGGTATCCGACATGAGTAGTAATGTGTATTGGTTGTGTCAAACATCATATTTAGTCGAATGATTATAACGACGTTGCTCAGGTATGTTACAATTATGTACAATGATAATAGATAGTTAAAATAAGATTTGTTCTTTTCGTAATGAGAAAAATATTGATGGGTCTCTCGAATGAATAAGATTGTGGAAATGTTTGATCGTACTATAAATAATCGTCATCTACGAATTATAGTGTGTTGAATGAATGAAAAAACAGTCGCATCTATTAAGGTGGTTGGTTCCATAATTTTACGTTCGACAAATAATATCGTAACAAAATAATCATTACTTGAGTTATTACCGACTTTTGGTTAGATTATCTCTAAATCTATTCTTTAGGAGTGATAATAATGTCTTACTAGATGTCACTTATAACTTGTAGAACGAAATTAGATACCGGGGCCACTTTCATTTCGAACGAGCCGACATATCATACACAATAGGGATGGACGAAAAAACGTGTCCATTTGAAATGCGACACGATTGAGTAAACGTTACACAATCGGATCGGTGTTCTGATGAGAAAAATCATATTTTTCTCGTAAACTTGGGTTAGACCGTTGTAGCTTTGAACCAAACCGATTCAATTTAGAAATTGATTACTCATAAAATTAAACCGATTCATTTTGAATTAAACTAGACCGATTTAATAGCAAATCGAACCGATTAAGATTTATGAAAACTATCGTTTTTTTTTTGGAAAATTTAAGTTTTTGGATGAGGATATAAAAGGAGGTCGTCTCCTATACTTTGGGTAAGTCGTCACACGACCTACGAGCAGCTCTAAGGTCTAGAAAAAACTCATGAGCTTCCTAAAAACCTAGTGCACAAGAGAGAACGAGTTCTTTAATCCTAACATATCCAAGTTATTGGACTCCATCCCATCATATGAATATCTATATAAGATGTTGGCGCACACACCTCATGGTGATTCTAAATCTACATATCTAGAGGTCTCAGATCACATGTTAGTTAAATCCCTTCAATTTAAAGATGTTAGTACCTTGAGATCCTGAGATCGTACGTTCGGTTTCTAGGGTTTAAATTTTTTTTATCTTCCAACATATGAACCCTGATCCCTATTTAATTCAGATTACCAGAAACCCCAACATTTTACCGTGGGCCTCATGCAATGCAAGCATAAGGAGCTCAAAAATCGATCATGTGATCTTATCTTATGGACGTTTTTTACCAATGCATAAAGGAGGCTTTGAGAATATCTTAATAAGCTTAAAGATTAAAATATTTACATGTCCATGTGATTTTGGCATCATTCTGGTTGATCAGTTCAGTTTGGTATGACTTTGAGGAGTTCCACATCAAAGAGAAGAGTCTTGTCGATGAGCCCCTGGTTCTTCAGCACAAAATCTAGTGCTCTTTGACCCTGCATCATAATGACCCGTTTATACACTATACATATTAACAATGGCGGATCATCACTCAGCCAATGGTATCGATGATACTCACCGAGAAAGTTGTCGGCTTTGGACCGCTGTTGTTGAAGTCGTTTTCCGGGTATCCTAGTTCTGGAGGTACAATGATCCTGCCATCACCAGTGAAAGTGTTAGATCAGATTTTGACACCGTACAAGGTTTTGAAATCATATATTATTATAACTCCAATTCATGATGCCCTGATTCTGCTTATAGAAAATAGGCTTAGAAAGAGAATGGACACAATAAGTTTTTGTGTTTGACTCCAAACGGATATATAAGTTCTCATGCTATTATATGTTTCTATACTCCAACATACGATGCACCTTCTGATACCGCCTAGTGCCATCCCGGAGACAGCTTCCTCAAATGCGGGTATTACCTGAAACGCTGAAATCATTCAGCCCAAAGAGACTCAAACTCTCACAAGTGTACAGAACAACCCACACACCACATTTCAGTCTCGGGCTGTGATGAGCTCGAGGCGAAAAATCGTCCCCTGATTAATACACGAGCCAGATAGTATGTGTTTAGGACTCAGAAATATAGAATGTTATAATCACCTCATGAGATCCTAAGGTAAATTTGAAAAATTCTTTCTCATCACCCTGCAGATTTAGGAGAAAGAGTTAGAAACTAAGGACGAGACTTCCGGTAGCTAATGAAACCAGGAGAAAATGATCAGTTCATACCACAAAAGAACCCCCTTTTGTTTTGTTGCGAGCTTCAAATATGCGGCCATAGTAACCTATTGTGTAACCATCCCAATCCACCTAAGATGCCAGGCCCAGTATATAACAAGGGATTAGATGATGAGATTGTCACATAAATTTGAACCACCACTTGAATTTCATGTAAAGGTTTGTTTTTAGATCTTTATATTTGTGATATCTATGGTATCCGACATGAGTAGTAATGTGTATTGGTTGTGTCAAACATCATATTTAGTCTAGTTTTTGCTTCTCTCATTGAACTGGTCTGCTCCAAACGACGATACACAAGGCCTTATACCCGCAGCTCCGAAACCTGTAACGTACAGAACCGTGTAAAGGTACAACATTTGCCACGGTTTCGCTGGTTCACAGTTTCCGAGGAGCAACGAGAGCTGATCACAGTTGGTCTGGTCAGGTACGAAGATCTTCAACGAGGCACAAAGTGTTATACCTATCAAACCCTTTCTCAGGACAGAACAGAAACCGGAAAAACCAGATCTCAGAACAAAAGGGTAAGATGTGGCAGCAGATCAAGAAAATTGTCTGGTTTTTCGGGTACTTACAGCGAGATACATCGTGGTGAAGATTGCGATTGTCCAGTACCGACCCAAGTATGCATCGGCTAAGAACCCTCCAAGAACAGAGGAAGCTTGAGAAATGCCGAGGAAGTTATTGACGGCATTGGATGAACTGGTGAATGGCCTATGCATTACGTAGAACATGAATGCCACCATGTTCACAGACAGCCCAAAATACGCCATTCTCTCTGCCATTTCATTTCCTGAGATTCGACCTCGAGTTACTTAACGAAAGAATCTAACGAGGATCAAAGCAAATAAGAGAGAGAGATACATGGAATTGAAGAAAGGTAGATACCGAAGATGAAAAGAGCGGCGATCCAACCGCCTGTTTTTGAGAGATCGGAGATGGGTTTTCCGTGAATGTTCACCGGAGTTGTTCCTCCGGTGTATCCGCGGCCAAGAGCCGAACGTCTGTTATCAGACTCTATGAAGAACACATTCAGCTTCTTCCTTTGTACGGACGAGCTGGAGCCTCCGTTGTCGGAAAATCTTGCCGGAGTTTGAGCTTCACTCGCCGGCGATTTAATCTCTGAAACACCCATGATTTTGAGTCTCCGCAACTCACTTAGAAGTTAGAACACTAATCAAAACCCGCAATCTAAAGTTTTAATCTTTGTTATGAACGAGCAATCTAAAGTTTTTTTATTTTCTTTATTGCAGTGCATGGATTGGTACGTAAAAGGAAAAAAAAAAACAGAGAAGCTTTTTGTGTTGAAAGGATTTGAAGAACAAGAGACAGAGTGGAAGCACTGGAAGATGGTTATTACAAAGGAATGATCAGGCCAACTACATTGGAGACGACAACTATTTGAAGAGGAAAAAATTAATGAATGGATATAATTTGTCAGAATGGAAATTAATAAAATGACGTTACTTATCTTTGGGAAATGAAAATAAATGGTCGGAGCTTACCGGTGGGGAGAGGGTAGTAGTAGACTCTATTGCATTTATTGCCGCTTCATCAATTCCCATGGGGTCTATGAAATGGATTTTTTTTGTGTGTGTGGTATTAAAAGTTCTATGCCCATGATTAGGATCCATGTGGTTTTGGGATTTAATACCATGTGTGATCGCCAGAGTTATGTAATGTTTTATGGAGGGAATAAGATTATAATGAAGGGTTTTTTTTATGTATATTTTTAGGAGGTTTATAACTTTATATGATAAATTCTAGAAGAGTTAAGAGTCGAACAAGGAGTCATCAACAAAGACCTAAGAATTCTATGAACAACTAAGAATTTGATTATGTATGTATGTATGTATGTATGTATGT